AAGAGTTTCGATCTCGTCATTGCTCCTCGTTTCTGTATGTCTGACACAGAACCAATTTCTGCCCAAGTCCTCTGATTAGTGCCATCAAGAGTCCTAAACGTCTCACATTTCATCCTCTATCAGGACGGTTTGTTCTTAAGGTGTCTCTCATGGGGGGGGGGCAGGATCGTAGCTCAGTGGTCAGAGGACTCTTCGCTGTCGTGTTGACGTCAGCGTTACAGACTTAGACTAACATGTTCTCTTTCTCTCTCTTTTCTTTCCTTTGTCTTTTCTTCTTCTTGTGCTGAAAGCTCGGAGATGAAACTGATATAAATATCTAACCGTCACTGAAACAGCAAGTCACTGAATCTCCCAAAATGTCAGGATTCGAGATATTCAGTTGTGAGTGTTGTTTACGCGGACAGGGGAGAAAAGGCTTGGCCTTGTGCCGAGCGATGCCACCCTGACGGCTGGTGAGCGCAGGACGACAGCTGACTGGGAATGAGTGTGGACAGCTGAGCAACCGCGGGGCGGCCCCGGCAGAGGGTCATTGTCTGATGACCTCGTGCTGTCTGCCGTGGAAAGCTGATCTGACAGCGCGAGGCCTGAGGCCGCGGACGCACATGTGGGAGCGCAGATAGCCACCAGGAGCCGCCGCCTGACTGACAGACGAGGTGTCAGGATGACTCTGAGAGGCATCCAGCCATTAACTGCTCAGCTTTACACATCAATGAAACAATCAATGAAACAATTAGAGCGATTATTGTTCTTTTCTGTTTTAAAATGAGGCTTTGACACATCAGGTCAGAGTTCAGTCCCTGCAACGCTGACACACCCCGGAGCTCCTGGTCCTCGCTGTACCTGCTCGTCAACACCTGGACAGTAGATGTAAGAGAAAAATAAAACAGATTCCCATGAAACTTGGTTGACGGATGTGACAGGTCAGGAGAGAACCTATTACATTGTGGTGCAAGGTTTCTATTCTTGAATTATGCAGATGTGATCGATTTGTTTTTGCCTATGGCTAAATATCCACTAATACCTGGTGAAGTTATACATTAAGATATACCATCGTATCACAGAAGATATATTTTTTTATAAATCTCTCAGCTGTGTGAGGTTATACTGGTGGAATTTAGACTGAGAGATAAGTTGTCAGAAATCCTTGGGCTCCTCGGAAATAGCTGAGTGGTTTGAGTGCGCACCACATGGGTGCCAGTCCCCTCCACGGCGAGGCCCTGGTTTGATTCCTGTTTGCTGCTTCATTCCCCCAAAACTCCACTTCCTGTCCGTCTCCTCTGTCGCCACTGGCCAACACAGAACATGTCCGTTAGCAGTGCAAAAAATAAATATGCTTCTGAATAATTTGAGTTCTGAGCTCTCAACCCAAATCAACTCAATATTCCAAATTCACAAATTTGCCTCAAAGAGCTTCACCCTCCAGCTCTTCTCTCAGTGCTGTTATTAAGATCAGCATTAACCACTTTGCTGTCTGAGCTCCACCCTCATCTCCTGATATGAACAAATTCCTCCTTCACTGAATCATTTTCTTTCCACAAACACTTTCTCTGTCTTTGGTCTGTCCATTTTATTATTGTCCTTTAAACCCCAGTGCTTCAGTACTGCAGTCGTGTAGGTTGCTGGGGTGGAGGTTATTTTACGATTGTGTGGAATTTACATAAATGCTGGTCAGTAAAGTCGTGTTAACCTCTTGTGGCCCTAATCACTCATGAACACTTTGAAGCAGAGGTCAGGTACAGACTCCGCTGAATTACGCCCATTTTAACATAAATTGCCTGTTTTAATAAATTCATGCATATCATATGACACATGCAAGAGATGCAGAGATTCTGTGGAATAAATAATCGTTTGTTTTTTGTGCTCCAGCTGTCAATGGTGACGTCTCCGCATGTTTTTATATCATCAACTAAAAAACGGGTAGAAGAAAACTACCTAAAATGACAGAAACCATCTTTGAGATAAAAAAAATATTTCAGTCTTTTGATTTCCATGAGCAGATGAGTCGCTGTGATTCCTCCCCCTCAGTCAATCAGACCTCAAGACAGTTGAGCCCTCCCCCCCCGGTCCTTCACAGTCCAATCACTGAACTTCTACTTCAGTCATTCGTCGTGTCCGTCAGCAGAGCAGTGATGGACACGGCCACATGAGCCCTTCACATTAAGAGCTCATGAATAGATTCACATCTCTGTCATCATTAACCGGAGGATTCTCTCAGCCTCCACACATCATCTTCATCTGTGACGTCATCTTCCTCAAGGTTGTCATCACCATGATCACATCACCACCCTCATCTTTCAGTGGTGATCATCATCATCATCATTCTGAATTCTGCTCTCACCACCGACATCATCAATTTCAAGAGTTTGTCTCTTCTTCTCAAGGTTTCGTGTCCGTCACAAGTTACGGCCACTTCGCTTGCTGTGAATTTTCCAGACATTTTTCTGCTGTTATTAAAATGTCTTACGCTACATTTCGTCTCATTAGTCCGACATTAAGAATAAAATAAACGAATTGAAGATTTCAGAATGAAGACATTTATGACTGTGATGGTCTTTTCAAACAAAGTGCAGCTCCTGAATCACTGTGGGAAGACGTCTGAGCGGATCACCTCACGGCCCTGATAACAGATCTTTTAATATTACCGTCCTCGTCAACATGGCAGGATTGTGAGGGAGCCAGACGGGGTTATTGAGTGAGAGCTAAAGAGTTTCTCCCTTTCGGCTTGGCCCAGCGTCAAAACTTATTAGACAGATAAATGGGAGCTGGACCAGCGCGAGCTCCTTTCAGTGCCCGCGTGTCATTTATTCGTCCCCTGAATACCGGCTCAATCAGATAGCAGCCAGCCTTTCACTGCTGCCACCATCTCTTCGCATCTGTTGACCCGTGCTGGCACGGCCGGCACTAATGTGGGTCGCTCCGGTGGCAGAGGAACAGCTTTTCTCTTTCACTACCAAACTGTTTCGGTGCAAATTATCTTTTGTTTTTGTCCAGATAAAGTTCTGATCCGAAGGTCAGACACGGAAATGTGGTTCTATTACTTTCTATTATATATTTTTTTAAACTTTTTTAAGCTTTTAACTTTCATCTTAGTTAATCAGTCTGCAGGTGAAGAGGCTTTATTTGCTTTTTCGTTGTAGACGATGTGCTCTAATATTTACAGCCTCTCTGAAAGACAGTGTGTATGTGCTCATGTGTCTTTTGCTGCTGAAAAAAAAAGACATCCTTGACCAGTTTCCTGTATCCATGGTGATAGGAAGTGCTCTCCAATCATATTTCTGTCTTGAGTGTTAGGGAAATGCTCTGTTTCCTGCTGTTTTTAACGGCTTCCTCCCATTGGTGTCCGCTCAGGATTCTACATTAGGTCCTGGAAAGCTGCTCGGTCTTAACATGGGCTCTTGTTGTGTTGGGTTTTTATTTTATCGATTAAGTTTTCGTCACGATCAAATTCAAATGACGTAAGTTGAACATTTGTTTGTAAATAGCCAGACGTATTGATTTAATTGCAGTTTTCGGACAGTAAGCTTTTCTTATGAAAGCCTTCTTTTAACATACTTTGTATTTCACTCATTTTCTAAATATTGACTTGGTGCAGTGATTCCACTTTTACAACACACAGATCAATGTACTTATTTACTGCATGACTCTACGTAGAGTTGTTTTTATAACTAGTACTGTTATAGAGCAAAGTTTAACTATTTAACTATTTTGTCGCAGAAGAGATCAGAGTGAACACAGACACAACTCCAAATTAATTTCTACTCTCATTTAATTATCGAAGTTAAAATTCTCTTAAAGGCTGAAAAGCTGAGTTTCATTGCCCTCTGTGGTTGCAAGTTGTCATGACAACACTGCTGGGTGTGACTTTAAATTATGTTTTTGTACCTGTACCCACTGTGATGTCATCAAGTACCCCACATACACTTACTACATCACTGAAACCAGGTGAGACATTAGCTGGTGTTTAGTTGCTCTGCCAGTGGATGACGTCATTCTTCACTGTATTTGTATCTTAAAACAACAGTTTTCAACTTAATAGATGTAAAAGACGGATTTCAAAATGAGAGATGATTTATCTGTATTGGAAGTTGTCGTCTTCATCTTGAACCGTGCAGTAATTGAGAAGTGTTTCTTACAGAGCGCCGTAAAAAAAACCCCACTTAAAATCCACTTGAAGCTGCGTCCTCGGAGACACCTGCTGTCTATTAACATGGGGAACTATTTCATCACCATCAAGTAAAGCTCCACCACCGACCCACTGGGATGCAGATTGGTCATCAGGTCACTGGTAGGACCCCTCTCCAGATCCCTCCCCAGCCCAGCCTGCTCCCGATCCTGCAGGACACCTTCCAGCCCATCCTGGTCCGAGCCATCATCGACCCCAGCCTGGGGATGGAGAGCCCCCTCCAGCCACAGACACCACAGTCACCCAGGACCTGCAGCTCACCGGGACCTGCTGGGAAATCCTGCTGGAGCTTAGATATGAGGGTGGCCGTGCTCCTGCTGACTCTGGCTGGAGCTGTGATCCTGCTGCTGCTCTACAGACTCCTACAGTTTAGACACAGGTGTGTTCAGGGTGTTTATCTAAGATTTGGGTGAATTTTTAAGTATTAAATGTTAAATCTTGATGAGAGTGTGTTACATTTATTTTGTGCTGCGTTCTGCAGGCTGAACGTGGCAAGGGCGAGGCACGCTCTGGAGTACCACGGCTTCTACCGCACCGCCACCTACACTCTCAAACACCCTGCACCACCATGTCGGGACCTGCCGCCCAAGAACGGAACTGTCCCCGATGCTTGTCAGCCGGTCCAAACTGTAATCACGGTGACGCCCGTTACCATCACCCCTGGGCCGCCCCCGCCTATAGCTATCCCCCCCCCACTGCCGCTCCCTCCACCTCCCGCCCTGCATCCGCCCTCTCTCCCGCCGACACCTCCTGTCCCCGCTATCCCTCTTCCCCTGCCGGTGATCCACACCACCCCACCCAGCCCTCACCTGTCGTGGGGAGCATGCTCGGACGCAGACGTCTACTCTCGGATCGGAGCTTTCAGGGCGTCCAGGCTCTCCAGCCTCTCCAACCTCTCCACCCAGTCAAAGGTTATCCTGTTTGAACACTCATCTCTCTGAGCTCTGACGTAGAGCATGAGTGAAAACACATGAATGCATGAAGTGTCGTGATGGACAGGACGTGATGATGAGTATACATTCTGTATGCTGAATATTTGATGTTCACACGCTGTGTGACCAGGCCACAGTCGATGGTTCTTTCCCTCAACAATATTTACCTACATATATATATTATTTAAATATATTATGGACTTACACAGTGCAGAGTGTTGGTTTGCCAGCATTATACTTTTAAAATAGAAACCACGGCTTCAGATTCAGAGTCATCACATCGCTGTGATCCTTAAGAATAAAAGTTGGCATTTTCTCAGTGTGGTTGTATCTGAGCTCATTGTTTCCACAGATGGAGCCACTTCCTGGGCTGGTTTTCTATGGCAGCGTCCCCTCCCTGTTTCCCATCATTCCCTGAGTTTCCTCTCTGTCTTTGCTCTTTGTTCACTCACGGCCTCCAGATTCCCACAAGAATCTAAATTTCAGGCGTGAATCTTTAATTGGTCATTCGTCTCTTAATCAAATCAACACCTCAGTGAGACATAAGTGATGCATGGACAGAAGTCTCGGTCGGTTTCTGTTTCTAACACTGAGCACAAATGAGCTGTGAGGCTGTGGCTCGGGGGGAGGAGCAGGTCGTCCACTAATGGTAAGGTCGGTGGTTTGATCCCCTGCTCCTCCAGTCCTCCAATGTCCTTGGGCGATGTAACGAACCCATAATTTCTCCTGGTGCTTGTACTGTGAGCCTAAATGGCATCGAGTGGTCTGTTAGACTGGAGTAGCACGATAGAGGAGCAGTTCATTTATTTGTTTTTTGTGACCTCTATGTCCACCTTCGCCCAAACAAGCTGTCAAGATGAAGTTATTTTAATAGTTAACCATGTTTGCACAACACGTCTGATTTATAATCCAACAACAAGTTTGAGATTCATGAGGGAAGTTGTTTATTTGATGGTGGCTTCGTGTTTTCCTTTTTGCAGGGTGGGAGCCGAGACTTTGTGTTCGACTCTTTAGACTTCTCTTGTGTCTTGATTTTGCGAGTGAGGCCGTTTCCGCACTAAAAGCCTGTTAATTCAATCTTCTCATGTAACGCAGCATCGTCTCTCAACTGGTTCTAAGAGGAACAGGAAAGTAACTAAATACTGCGGTGACAATTAAATAAGAAGAAGTAGAGCCATGCAGGGATCAGTGTGGGTGTTTGTCATAGTGGCTCTTAAACGCAAAGGTCCTAAAAAAACTCAATATTTAAACTTTTACTTCACTCTGACTTTTTCCTCCATCATGAAGAGCCGGTTAGTGCAACATTTTAAATTACACTCTGGCACGTAGAGTTTGTTTTTACATTTTAGAAGAGATGTTTTTATCTCCCTCAAAAACTCTCACATTCACAATTGGCAAGTTGCTTATTCTCCACCAGGGGACGTACTTCAGTCCTTTTCAGAGCAGTTTTTGGCTGCGTTCTGAAAGTCCAAATAATCTCCTTTCCTAACATCTATTCCTTGACCCTGATGGAATACGTCTCTGCTGCCGTGCCAACAGAACTGGCTGCGATGTGAGTGATTTTACAGTTTTTATATCGACTCGGGCAAAAACAGATGAATCACTACAGTGCTAAAATTCATTTGAGAGAAATAATTGACTCTGTAGCTTAAACTCCTGGTGTTGTGGACGAGGGGCCATTAAAATCAGCTGCAACATTCAGAACTGTCAGTATTTACTGTATCTCTCTCTGAACACACAGCATTTGTCTTTCTGCTACTAGATTTCCTCATAAATCTTTTCCCTCTGCTTCTATTCTCCATAAAATACTTGTGAGTAATTCGTCATTTCAGTTCTTCTGGGAATTGACGTGTTATTTAAATAAGCTAAATACTACAGTCAAATATCTTCATCACTTCACTTCTGCTTTTTCAAGTGATGAAGCTGTTGAGTCGACTTTTATTTAACAGAGACGAACATGTGAAGAAGAGGAGGAGGAGGAGGAGGAGGAAAACCTGCAGCGAGAATCAGACGACAAGACACCAAACAATGACTCAGCGTTTGATGTCGCACTTAAAATGACTGAAACCAGACAAAGTGACATCTGTTACAGGTTCAGGACACACACACACACACACACACACAGACACACACTTTTAAAACAACAATCCATCACTTCTACATCTAAACACATGAGATAAAACCTGTTCAAAGAAGTTTTTCTGAATTTTTTACTTTGGACAGATTCAACTTTTGACTTTTGAAGCCAAAATATCCCGGAAACCGAACTCCGTGCTCTTGCGACGTCATGTGCAGCCGGAGTCTTGCGTTATAGCGATGTGGATATGGAGCGATGCGTCATGTTCAGCTGTCAGTCATGAAATTTCACCACGTTGTCACATCATCAAATAACTAATTAAAACCAAACTTATCAGAAACATGAATCACTGTGATGAGAACTACCTGAAGTTACTTAATGATTTCAGTAAACATGAAGAAGTAAACCTCGCTAGCTCAACTCACCTGTGTTTTCTCAGCGTAACAACTGAAGGACGATCGTGTTGACAGATGTGCAGTTAAACGTCATTTATCTTGAAGGTGAGATCAGAGGTTTCTTCAGTCGGTTTTCAGACCAACACATCGATACGTTTCTCTTGTCTTTAAATACACAGATAGAAGTTTCCATCTTAATCATCCGCAGCTCCTGTTCTGCTGTTTTCCTCTAAACATCGTCACCAACAACAGCTCAGGGAGGAAATCCCAGAAGACGTGGAGGGTTTGTTCTTCTTGACGTTGTGCGAGGCAGTAACATAATTCCTTTGACAGTAGAACGCCACCGGGGCCTCCGCAGGGGGAACATGACTGAACGGTTCAAGAGCATATGGATGGAATATTATCCGCACTCCTCACCTCCTGCAATGTGCCGGCTGATTTACAGCCAAGTGCACTCGGCAACGGCCTCAGAGGAAGCACGGACAACAAACCTGAGTATACACAAGCACCTGCAGGGACACATTCGAGCAGTGTTCGTGCCTTTTAGTGGTCGTGGTATCGTCTTGCATGTTTTTTTTAGTGACTGCACGGAATTGGACTTTTCTCTGGGAAGAGTTTGATGCTTCTGTCAGCGAGTCATGTTTTTACTTGAGCTGTTGTTTACTGAGAAATGATTTTTTTGAAATGGCTCCTGTCAAAAACCGACGGTGGTAATTCTGATGGACAAATCCTCCTGGCATTTGCTTCTGAGGAGACAGAATAATAATAGCGTTGTAGAGGAAATGCATCAATATTACGGACTTGAGTGTTTTTATTTTGGTCTTGATGTGACAGAACATGATAACCTGGTGACACGCTGGAGGAGAAGTCTAGTTCAGGTTTTAAATTAACAACAAACTGAAGCGTTTCCTAAACCCTGTTTTCTTTTTCAGTGATAATGTATTTTAATTCTGGTCAGAGGTGTGAGGCAGCTACGTTCAATACTTTATTATTATATTATACTTTATTATACGATATGTTTAAAGCACAGTAACATGTTTTATTCCATCTTCTCCTCCTTGTTGATTCAGTCAAATTTAGAGAGTGTTTACTCTCGGAAGGAGAATTGAGGCTTTGCAATAATGCAGCTCACTAGTTTCACTTCACTCTCTCTCTCTGCTTCCTCCCAGGTTCAAACTGCGGCTTCCTCCGCAACTTCCACGCTGATGTAACCCCGATGACATCACTGTGACGTCATCAGACCTGATGCGCGTCCTCCAGATACCACAGAACAAGTCTTACGACTGGTAAGTTAATTTCTCATCTTCAAAATAATAAAAATAATTTGATTGTTGAGGTGGAAAGTGCAATGAAGGAGACTGTTAGAGCCAACTTTATAAGTTAGAGTGGAAGGAAGGAAGGATGCAGAGGGAGGGAGGGAGGGAAGGAAGAACACAGCAGCTTATTGTCTGAGAGGGCTGCCAGCTGTGGGCCCCTCATATGCACCTCTGTATTCCTGTGTGGCCGCGGACCCCTTTGATCAGATAATTGCCCCTCGGCCCCGAGAGTTTGCATCCACCATATGTCGCTATGGCGACCACCTCTCCTGCTTGCATGTGTGTGACCCTTTCAGCGCCTTTTTAAGATGGACTTAGATGTTACGAAGCTGTGAGTGATGAAGGTAGAGAAGCCCCCCCCCCCTCGACCCCTTTAACGGACACCTTTGTATCACAGCTCCTGCACAGTGACGAATGTGTGATTCTTTTTCTGTCTCCCCCTCTCTCTCTCTGAGTCTGTCTGTTCGCTCGCCCACCACATCTGAGACGATCCCCGTGTCACTATCAGCAGATACAAGTTAGAAGAGCGTGAGGGGGATAAGAGTCTGGGGGCTCAGGGTGAGGACTCTTTTTTTATGCTGCAGGGGATCACATCTGTCAAAACATTGAGACAAAGTTAATTTCAGACATATTAAGTGCAAATGAATCTCCTTTAAGGTTTTCTCTTAATAATCTGATTAAAATCTCATTTCAATCCTTTTTCCACTCCACCTGCTTTAACAGCATCACATTCAGGAGCCCAAATATTATTTCATTTACACTGAAGCTTCATGACTTTTATTTAATAAAATATAATAATAATAATATAATAAAACCACCTTTATCAAATGTGAATATTCTAACGTCACTGAGCATCTGCTGTGGACACAATATTCTCTGTCTTTGGGATCTTAAAGGGATTTTTAGAGAATTAGGATGTAATGAGTGACTTAAATTATTTTTGCAGATTAGATCATAATTTTCTGAGACACAGGAAACAAAAAACTGGAAGCTGCACATCTGCACATCTTCAGCTGCTTCTCATCGTGTGCCTTGCTTCGGAGCACTGCGGTGGTGGGTTTCATATGATTCCTGACATAATTCTTTTGTGCCTGAATATCTGCCGAGTGAGAATCATGTTCATAAAAAATAAACTCGCAGCCGTGTGGAGCAGATTTTTTAAAATGTCACATCAGTCCTTGGTGCCGTGGAGCATCTGGATTTATTCATTTGGAAGTTTTTCAACAAATGCAGGATTCGTTTCCTGAGTTTTAAAACTTGAAGTGGGTATTGTTTATAGAGCAGAGAAGGGATGCAACTAGTACAAATTACTACAAAAAAAATATTTTCGTGTATCTATGTATTATTGTTGTTATGTCAAAGGTGACATGTTCAAATAAATGTACACAGAAAGTTCTCACTTCTTGTGTCTCAGGATGAAATTTGATTTGAATTTGAAAAGGCTTGAATCATGAATTCTGAGCAATCATTAAAAATGACTCTTTATTGAACATGACAGAACATGGAGCTACAATCAGACGATCACAGCTGTATCTCTACCTGCAGGCTGCACACATCTCTGGGAATAGTTATTGAGGGTGGTGAGTATCACAGAATCATCTTCATGAACCGCTCTGCCTCAGATTCATTGTTCAGAACAGTCTCTTTAAAGTCTCATGATTATTCACCTCGATGAAAACCTCACGGTCTGCAGAAATGACACTTGATGATTTTCTTGAACGCGCTCTGGAAGTCTTTGTTGAAGTATGCGTAAATGATGGGGTTGAGCAGAGAGTTGGAGTAGCCCAGCCAGTTGATGACATCCTCCAGCCAGCGGGGCATGTAGCACGCGTCCCGGCAGAAGGGCTTGACCAGGGCGACGATGAAGAAGGGCAGCCAGCAGAGGATGAAGGTGCCCATGATGATGCCCAGGGTCTTCACCGTCTTGCGCTCGCGTGCCATCGCGATCTTGCGCTTCGCCTCGGTGGCCTTCTCGTGCCTGCTCTCGAACAGCGGCGCGGTGCTCGGGGTGTCGGGCAGCGGCAGGTTGCTCTTGGAGTTGCTGTGCACCTCGATGATCTCCAGAGACTCTCCGTCCTCGGCGTGTTTCACGGCGCCGTTGACGCTCGGCAGCGGCCGCGGCTCCACGCTCCTCTTCCAGCTCTTGCTTTGCGCGTCGCGCGGAGTCTTTTTGTGGAAGAGCGCAGGAGAGAGCGCCAGGCAGGAGTCGGACACTTTCTTTTTCTCCGTTTTACGCACCGTCTTCCTGATGCGAAACCTGGCAGCTTTGAATATTCGCCCGTATAAAACCAGCATCAGCGTCAGAGGGATGTAAAAAGCCCCGAATGTGGAGTATATCGTGTACCAGGGGTCCTGTCGGATCTCACACTGCTTGGTGCTCGCCCTGTCCGGCCCCGGCGTGTTGTTGGGCTGGGAGCTCATGATCAGCATCGGTGGCACAGAGATGGAGAAGCCGACGATCCAGGTGACGCTGATGAGGACCGCGGCTCTCCTCGGCGTCCTCTTCTTCATGTATTCTATGGGCTCCGTTATGGCCCAGTATCGGTCCAGGGCGATGGCGCACAGGTGCAGGATGGACGAGGTGCAGCACAACATATCCAGAGAGATGAAGATGTCGCACGGCACCTGCCCGAGAGTCCACCGGTTCAACACCTGGTACAGCGCCGCCATGGGCAGCACCAGCACCGACACCATCAGGTCGGTGACGGCCAGAGAACCGATCAGGTAGTTGGCCACGTTCTGCAGAGATCGCTCCAAGGCGATGGCTGCCACCACGCACGCGTTCCCAAAGATTGCGCACAGGATGAGCGCGACGAGCAGGAAGGATGTGAGCACCTGGTAGCTCAGCTTCACCTCCTCCTCCTCCTCGGGTTCTTCGGGGGTGTTGTTGGAGAAGTTGTCCAGCTGTGACCAGGCTGTCGAGTTGTTCGCGCTCTCCATCGCGGCTGAGCTCGGTGCGTGCGGAGAGCTCCGGTTAGTCGCTGGGCAGCCCGGCGCGCACGGCCCCGCGGCTCTCTGTGGAGCGCATGGTGGAGAGTGGAGCTGCGGCGAGGGACGGGACTGCGAGTGTCGGCTGCTGGTGGAGAATGATGCTGAGTATTTATACCGGTGATGGAAAATGCGTCACTTGTCCGTGAGCATGAAACCGAGTCTGACACGAGTCTGTCCGGTCACTTCAGCTCTGGCACCGAGGACTGAGTGGATCCGAGTAAACTTTAAAAACCTCAACTCTGTTTTTGTCTGTTTTCCTTCTCCTTCTTTTTTTTACACGTGGATTCTGGAGAGAGAGAGCAACGTTTGGTTTCTAATGCAGCTTTCACTCGTTTCTTCTTTGTCAAATGACACAATTAATATTAGTGAACTAACCTATTTGCCCATTTACATACAGAACTACACCAAAATTAATAAATGGATGGTTGATTATTTTTGTAGTCTGATATAAAACATGTTGGCAACTAATTGCACATTTAAAAACACGTCAGTCAGGCTCAAGGAAACAGTGAACAGTCAATATGTTATTTAACAGTTTATCACTATAATCACAGGAACATTTAACATGGCACAAGGGTTCATTTGTCCGGTGAGACACTGCCACCAGGCGTCAGATCTGTTAACCATCCATCATTGTTGAAAGAATAAATGAATGAAACAGACATATGTGTAGTTCCACCTCAAAGTGAAAATGTGCTTGAGCTTTAAAAAGAAAAGGCATGAATGACCCTGCATACTATTTGTAATGTTTATTTTGGAACAAAGTCTCTGCTTCTGTAAATTATGATTTCATTACATTTGTTTTGTGCACAGTAAGATTTGTCTGTTTTGTGACTATCGCACTAAATGCAATTACCAATAGTACCAACAAATAATTATTTGGACCCTGGGGGCCCGTGGCTGGACTTACTGTTCAAATGTGTTTAATTTTAAAAGTGTTAAGTGTTCATCTTTGAGCTCTTAAGGTCAACACTGCAAATAGAGGTGTATTTGAAATGTTTTTGAATTAAAATAATGGCTATGGCCAGAGCAGGAGGTTGAACATAACAAACACAGGTCAGAGCATCATAATCTAATTTATTCAAAGATTCAATTTTCATTTATTTTATTGAACCTCCTGCTGATCTGTCATTTGAATTTAATTTAAATGTCTTATATTTTATTTAACCTCCTGATAATCTGTCTCTTTTATTTTGTCAGGGCGGAAAACGCGGAAGGTGTTTTGATCTCCTCCACCTTCCGTAGCTGCCCGGCTCTGACGTCACGGGCAGCTTTAGCCTGTTTAACTTTGTGTGATTTTTCTCGACGCAGCTTTTCTTCGTGGTTTCGTCTCTCGAGCTGCTTCGGGTCGTCAGAGGTGAGTTCACCGCGCGAACAACACGAACACCGTCGACCGGAACTCGTGACCTGAAGGTTTAATCGGTTTCAGTCGACAAGAGGAAGCTTGTTGTTGTTGTTGTTGTTGTTGTTGGAGCTAAAGAAGCTAACTGTGTTTGTTTTCTTCAACACCGACAACAACACGTGTATTTGAAACTTACACCTGAAAGTCAGGCTCGTGCTAATGACACTAAAAACTAGATTCACTCTGAACACAACAACATTTCACTTTCCAACTCTGCAGCAGTCGAGTCGTGACGTTGTCCAGAGAAAGTTCAGACCCGATTCAACAAACTGCAGAAATCCTTCTGTTATAATTCAAACAACACGTAACTGCTAATTTAGAAAAGAGACACAAGAGTTGTAGATCAAACTATTCACTGACAGATACACGTTTTATTCCATTTAAGCAGCTGGTGGACTGTAAAACTGCTCAGAGGAAAATAAAATAAAGAAATGAGGAATTGTTGGATTTAATAGAAACACATGATCGACAGGGGAGCAGTGATTTAAAAGAGCTTAGTCCAGATTTGTTGAGGATGACTTTAAAGTATTTTTTAATTATTATGAGTTTGTTCATGTGTTTATTTGCACGTTGCCACTTTCTTTATCGTCACCATCGTCAGAGCCGGACTGGAAACCTGCTGTTGATGAGTTTGAAGAGAGGGAACCATGCTCCGCTGCAGGAGGTGTCGCAAAGGCGTCATAGACTCGACATGTTTGGCCACGGTGGGTGAAATTTATCAATACGTTAAATTAATATGTAGTGTTTGACTCATAGCCGTTGCTGAGTTGATTAGTTTGTCTGGACCAGCCCTCCCTGACAGAGGAGATATTGTACCTCAACATTAAGGAACATTTCGAACATTCACTTTCCAGCTGCTGCTTCAGAGACATTGTCTGTGAGTGAACATCTTTGAGATTTGGACTTTTGGTCAGAAAAACAAGACGTTTGACGACATCACAGTGAGCTGGAGATAACTGCGTCTGTTTAAGTCGTGACAGTTGTTTTGTCAGAGAAACTGGTCCAGAGAAACCTTATTGACTGTTTGTCTTTCACGTTGAAACAGGATGAGGCAACAGACGAAAGCTCGCGTGCTGCGTGCAGCATCTGGCACGTGAACGTCGACGCGCTGCCAGAGTGGATCCTGACCTCGGTTCACCAGGCGAGTGTTTCAGCTCAGGAGTGAAGTCGGTGCGGTGTCAGATTGCTTTGTTCACTGGCACAAGATTCAAATAATTAAAAACTAGAGATCATGTTGTGCTTTATGTATCTGTGGTTTTTTGTCCAGGCCCAGTGGACTGTGGGAAAACTGAACTGCCAGAATTGCGGCGCTCGTTTAGGTGGCTTCAACTTCATCAGTCATACTAAGTGTCCCTGTGGCCAGGCCGCCACCGTCCACCTCAACAAAAGCCGCGTGGATCATGACCACAAGCACCACGTCCTCATCGTCCAGCCGAGGAGGACGAGGCAGGAGGAGGGACCTGCTGCTCCGCCGACAGACCGCGCCGGGAACAGCGAGGAGACGTTTAACAGAACAGAACCAGACGCTTTACAGCTCAACTGTGCCGCCGTCATGTCCCACGTCCGCCCTGCAGAGGCGTCGAGGTCACGGAGTGAAAACCAGTCGTTTTCGTTCAGTCCTCTGTACTGCATCGCTCACAGGAGACGGTGCAGTTTGGAGGACGGCGCCACCCTCAGGTCGTCTTGTTTTTGCCCCGCGAGCCTCGTGGACAGGTCTGCAGCTGGTTTGATGTGTGCAGGGACAGACGATCAGTCCACATGGTCTCCTGTCTCGTATTCCACTCGTCCGGAGCTTGACGGTGAAACCTCAGGCGACGCTGTTGCCCTCCGTTCATTTGGAGGGAGACGGTTGCTCCTGGATCAACCGCTGCTGCAAACTGTGGACGCCGTGGAGTCGTCCGTGGCGTCCACGACCGAAGACGCTTCTCATTCAACCCTTTTCCTCAGAGGAAGAACCGTCTCTGACAGCGTAGCTGAGCGGGACCAGGAAACGGAGGTATGTCATGAATATAACGAATTTAAACATTGTTTACATAATTCTGCTCTTTCTTTTATAAACAATTTAAAATTAGTTTTTACCAAAGACTGTAAATAAAGATGGACGACATGACAGCTCCTAAACGTTAAGCTGAAACATCTGGATTGCCCCCTGGTGGCTGTCTGCAGTACAGGTCATGAACCCAGCCTCATCCATGGGACATGAACACGTAGAAGTGCACGTGAAATACGTCTTTCGTTTTATATCATTATCTTGTACTGGGATGAAACATCACAGTTGACAGCTGTGACGTGTGTGTGTTGATATTCATGATCCCCAGAGGATGGATGTCGTTACTCACAGTGACCCTCTGACCTTTTTCAGGACGAGCATCTGACCACAACCGTCATTGTGTCAAAATTCAAAGGGCATATTACCATTAAATGTATTGATGTCGCTGAAGTTCCCCAGAGGCTAGACCTTTAGTTTTGAATGACCTTTGCTCTCCTCTCTGACGCACTCCGCTCAAACTAAGTTGTTTCACTGATAGTCGAGGTCAGAGAAACGCTAGCACAAAGGTGTACCGTTAACATGTCTCCCACCTCCTTTTGCATGTGTGTGTCTGTGTTGCCCTCGTAGCCTCGAGCCTCTTCAAACTCCCCAGCATCGAACAGCCGGAGCAGAAGAGAGAGGAACCGTCTGAAGGGTCTGCGCCGGAAACAGAGGAGGAGAGAACGATGGCTGCACCGTCGGCAGGAGCAGGTGAGAGTTGGGGTCAGGGTGCATCCTCTAAAAGTCTTAGATATGTTCAAATATGCTGTCAGTTGTGTATATATATGTTATATATCTGTTTAAATATATTTATTAAATGACTCAAAATATGAAGCAACTGAGAAGATAAAAGTGCAGAATTGAAGGAGCTGATGTTTGTGAGGATTTAAATGTTCAGTAATTTCAAAACGTTTTCAGTAAAATCCACATCCCGTTGAAATAAAAGCAGCGTTTGTGAGTCGAAAAGTAACAAATCTAATATGAAATATTTAAACTGTAAAAAGGGGATAAATATTATTTGTGTGTTTGCGTTCAGGCCGATAGTCTGAGCGGGTCCCTGCTGGACAGCGAGGAGGAGGACAGAGACGGTCTCACCTGCGCCGTGTGTCTGGACGTCTACTTCAGCCCGCACAGCTGTCAGCCCTGCGGTCACGTCTTCTGTGAGCCGTGTCTTCGCACGCTGGCCAAGAACCGACCCACGAACACGCCCTGCCCTCTCTGCCGCACCCTCATCTCGCACACCGACCTCCACAAAGGTCGGCGACCTCCAGAACTCCGAGCTTCACAAATACCTCTAACAGTGAATCCTCCTGTCAGCTCAGACATCTCTGTTCTGATGAGCTGTTTTCCTCTCTGTGCTTGTTCGGTTCCTCCTCAGAACTCAACCACACTGTGAAGACCTTCTTCCCTAAAGTTTACTACGGCCGCCAGCTGACCTTCCAGAAGGCTCAGTACACAAAATGGCCGCTGCCCAGCTGTCGCACATGCTTCCGTTCCTTCTGGGGTAAGAATCCGTCAAAGTGTTCTTGAGCACATTTGTCTTGAGAACATAAAAAGTCTCTGGATTCTCAGAGGAGCTATATTTCTATTAGCATGTATTTATCCTCAGATCTCTGGACGTACACAACTTTTTTGTACTTTTTTAAACTTTACTTCAGGGTATCAGAGACACGCAGCGACAGCGAGGAGACGCTGGCACTTCGCCCACGGAGCCTTCACGCTGGACGCTTTGAACTTCACCGACATGCGCGGCTGGATCTTCGACAACGGCCTCGTCATCGACTACATCCACTCCGTCAACTGGATCCTGGCTTTCCTGCTCCTCTGCTTCCTCGTGTACTATTTCTTCTTCTGAGGAACCGAGGAGCAGTTGAGAGTTTGCCACACAGGTTTATCTGTCTTCTTTTCCTCTTGAGAGATTTTCTGACTTTGAGAAAGTCACATCGAGTGTGTGTTGAAGGAACAAAACTCAGTGTAAAAGAAAATGTAAACGTTGGGTTAATAGTTCATTGTCTTACTAAAACCAAACGACACAGGCAATCAGGTGAATCGTTTGAATATGCACATATGAATTATTTTAATTTAAACATGGGTCCGATTTATTATTTTAATCTCCAGGAGATTAAAATAATCTTTGAGTTCTGTTTGCTGGACTGTTCAATAGAAATATGAAAAACACTGAGCCACATCAATGAATCAATGCAAATGATTTATGAATAATAAAAGTGTCTGAATAGATTTTACTTTATTTAACCAACTGTCTCTCCTCTCTCTACGTTTCTGAAATTACTCACCACAGTTTTATTTCTATAATTAGACAGAAAGCATTTGATCAAGCAGCGACGTGGATTCACAGTTCCAGAGAAAGAAAACACAAAAGCAAAGGTGTGATGGAGAAGGAACGATAACAATGACGAGGAATAATTCTGACGTAGCTCCAGAAATAAAAGAAATAAGAAAAGCCTAAACCGACATTTCTCAGTGAAGATTGATCATAAAACGAGATCTGATCTTCATCTAAATCACAAATGAACAACAGACAATCTGTTTTAGTTAGTAACGCACTATTTGTTGCATTGACCTCGTCCGTATTGAGCCTCTCACACCAGACATCTGAAGAATATGGCTGAGCTGATGTGAGCTGATATTAAATCCAAGGGTTCACTGTGAATGTTTGACAATCGTGTTCAATGATGACAGGAAGCGTGATCTTTACTTGAGTGTTATTAGCTTGAGCACAATGTGTTTGTCTTTACTTGAAACCAGATGACATTTAATGACCAGTTCAGTCGGAACACACGGTTCACTCGCTTTATCTGTGCATAAGAAGGTGAAAGTGCTTGTTTTTTAATTTGTCTGCCCCCTGGTGGAGCGAAAGAACGAGTGCATCTTCATACACAGCAGCAGCTAGAATCTCAGTGAATAAAACAATCCTCTCTCTGAATCTGCTCACACCTGCAGCAGGAGAAACGCCGATGTTCAGTGCGTGTGAAGTGTTGCAGCTGCAGACACATCTGTCAGTGAAGCACCGCACCGTGCGCGGCGCAGGCTGCAGCGTGCGGGCCACTGCTGCTCTCAAACAGTTAACGATGAGTCGGAGGGTGACGACTTGTTTTGCTGTTGGCTCCCTCCGCATCCTCAGCACACGTGAGCGCGCTCGGCGGAAGACGGAGGAGCCTCCCCTCTCCCTCTCTCGGCCTCCAGGAGGGGCTGAAGGTGACTCTCCTCTTGGCGGGGATGCAGAGGCAGCTGCTGGGGGTCCGTCCGCCCCGCGACTCGCTCTTGCTCCCGCGGACAAAGCGCACAGTCCCGCTGAGGCAGCGGAGGCTCTGATCCGTCTTCAAACCGTCTGACCGCGCCGCGCCTCCGGCTCGTTTTCCTTCCTCCTGTGGACAGAGGACACCGCAGCATCCGTCTCCATCCGTGCGTGTGTGTGTGCGCGTGCGCGCGTCTGGCCGGGCTCCGGTGGTGCGTGTGCATGCATGTGTTCTGCACCGTACGGGCGGAAAAAGCGCCCACGATCCGCAGGCAGCATCTTCCCCATCAACCGCGGAGCGCAGACGGAGCCGGAGCGCAGGGAGAGCGCGGAGGAGGCCGTGGACGGCAGCAGGATGGTGAGTCCCGCTCCTCCTCCAACACCCAGGACAATGCAGGGTGAGATCCCTGTGCAGCTCTGCTGCAGAGAGACACTGGTTCTCCTCCTGCAGAGAGACTCAGGTTCTCCTCCTGCAGAGAGACACTGGTTCTCCTCCTGCAGAGAGAC